CCACCCATCCATCCATCCACCCACCCATCCATCCATCTATACATATATATGAGTTTGTTAGCTCTATCTAACCTTATAAATGTGGAAATAAATAAAAGTCGAAATAACTTTACCTGTAACATTGTCTTTAAAGGGGCCGTTTGTTGTTGTGGATGAACTGGTCAGACTAATATCTGAATGCACCTTACCGGAACACCGCCCTACAAGCATACTTCCAGCTGACTCAGGACTTAATGGAATCGACGAAGAAAATCACACAGAAAATACAGACAGAAGAGGTGTAAAAAGAGCAGTTGGACATGATAGCGATGATGAAAGCTCACCTGTAATACCACCCTCACATGATATATACAGAAGCCGTCAACAAAAGAGAATACATTAGAAACTGTACTATGCTGTTACCATGGTGACACTTATTGAATATCGAAACTGTCTTTGTCGGCACAAACCTTGGTTACCTTGACAACGGACATACACCACTAACTTTATAAAGCAATAGGCAGCTCTCTTGTTTGCCATGGCAACTGATATTGCTTTAGTGCTGAGCTTCACAAGACCCTTTCTTTCTGTACACCATGAAAAATACTGATAAACATACTTTTGTGTTGTTTTTAGCTAGAAGTTGAGAACGTAATGGTTCATAAAATCATTGTAAACGTCTCCTGGATTTTACTTGATTCTTCAGGTTATTGTCAAACTTTGCATGTTTATTTCTGCTTTATTATTTACATAATCATTGAGAAATCTACCTATTTCTAACCATTGTTCACGTCAACCAATATGTAACCATTTGAGTGTAAATACTTAAAAGAAAAACTGAAAAGTAAGCCAAGAAACGACGAAAGCTGTGATATAGAAGATTAGCAATTGGTTTGAATTTTTAAACAAATCACTGTGACCTTTACAACCCATTTTAGAAATGAATAAAGTATTTGTAATGTTTCCTTTTTCATTTGTGACACATTTTTATTTTGACCATGGTGGGATTCCACTGGGAAAACTGCTGCAATGGTGACTCAGTCTGGCTCACTATTTAATGATTGGGGACCATGAATAGCTTTGTTTGCCTGTATCCTTGACTATTGAGTCACCTTTTGATAGAGAGATTTTTCTCAGACTGTAAAATAGATTATCAAACTCATTAATAATTCATGAGGAAAACAACAGAAATCACCGTGAAGAGTGTTGTAAATCAGATACAGAATCGTGTTCATTTGCATAAACTTTAACTTGAATTTTCTTGGGCAGATTCACTTTAATTTTGAAAATTTTAGTGAAACACAAAGGAACTAACCTAGACATTTGATAAGCAATCTACAGTATTCGTGCCCGTGTTGTATCCGATATACAAACTCTCGGCTACGCCTCGAGTTTGTATATCAGATACAACGCGGCCACTCATACCGTATATATTACTAGTAGACTAATAGAGTTTAGAATATCTCATTTCCATTGTTTTCTTTTGTTTCTATTTCACTAGAGTACAAACACTAAGAGTGTGCAACACTTTGCACTATTATTAGTAAATAGTGCTAATAAAACAATAGAAAACAACACACTTTAGTAGACCTTAATTCCATTGTTTTCTTTTGTGTCTATTTGACTATTACACATTGACTAATAATTTTTATTTTATGGGTTAAATGCCTTCATTCTAGGATTAGCATAATTTAGCAGTATTTAGTGGTACTTATGTTACACATTTATAGTGTTTGTACTGTATTGTTTGCACTCCTACTAATAACAACTGTTTCTCGATCTGAGGAAAATTACTCTTCCTAGCCACCAATCAAAGTCAAAATTATTCTGATTATTAGAGTTGCTGTTTGTTGATTATGATTGATAATGTAATCAATGTCTTACCCAAAGTTTCCCCTAAAGAGTTGATTAGAAAGGGGGTTTGACCACTCTCCCCAGAAATATTGCTTGATCAGTGTATGTATTTGTTAATTACAGCTTTTCATGTAATGCTGATACAGTTTGTATATCAAACGCTGGCTGAAACGTAAAAGCTTCCAATCGATCTTCCTCTGGTAGCAGATTATTAAGTCGGTCCATTGTTGGGACTATTCTCTTTATATTCGCATCAATTCGCTTCAAAGTCAAGCTTAGTTCATTCACCTTCCTGAGATGTGCTGCCACGTGTACAAGTCTTCGATATCTATCGCTTACAGCGCTCATAACAGAAGCACAGTTCACGTCTACTTCTTTTATTCGTGAAGACAACATATCTTGGTCAAAAGTAACAGCTTCTGCACACTGCCTGAGGTGGTCTTCATATCTCGTACACAACTTCAACATAGGAACAAGATCAAAACGCTCAAGGCTTTCGAATTCCTTGGGAGTCTCTGCTTGAACCGGTACGTGAAGAACTGGCTTACAATACTGAAGAGACTGGAGTTTTTGAAGGTCTTCGTCTTCGTCTTTAACAGACAGTCCAGTCTGTGGTTGTCCTGCACTCACTACATAAATCTCCTTTAATCCTGACCTTTCTCTGCTTGTTTTGTCCTTCGGATTGGATTTCTCAACGGAGTAATTGGTGTAAGGGATATTTTGTGTACTTCTTTGTGGTCCCGAAGGAGGAATGCTCTGTTCTTGGCCCATCTCATTTGTCAATACATACTCTCATCGTCCGCCATTTTGGTTTAGACCTAATTGCATTATGGGATAACTCTACCACAGGGATCCCAAAGATTGATAAATTATACTCTAAAAACAGGCGTAAAAATAGCTTTTCGCAATAAGTATTTCCACAGAGAAATACTCAATCATTTGCTTTAAGAACCTTCCTACGATACATTTAGATACTGGAATAAGAAAAATATTTGTGAGCCATTTACATTAGATGGAATCCCTGTGTAGTAATTAGCATAACTGAATCTAATAGTGCAAGTTTGCGCTTTCACTTTGGCGTGTTTTCGTACTTCTTCTTAAGATATTTCTCGTTCAAACCTCAGTTCTACCGGAAAATTGTCTTCGACCAGTTGCTAGGATTAGTTACCAAGAAGTGGAGGCGGGTTAGCGATGTGGTTTCGTGTGTGATGTCCTAAATCAGTGGATATAAGGAAAGCGGAAATATAAGGTAGTGATTTAGTTATAGATAGAAGACATGTAAAAAGTGTCTGTTTATATGGTATAAATGCGTATATCGTAGGTGCCTGAGACACAATGATGACCAGTGTCCATATACAAGTGTGTGTGTGGGTGAGGGGGGGGGGGGGAGGGGGGCTAAGATTGAGACTACTATGTAAAAAGATTAGCTAAGATTCGAAAATATAAGTCACTTGTAGGGAAAAAGGGAAGAAGTGGGGGGGCCGTAGCCCCCTCAGACCCCGGCTCCGTGGTCCCTGTATATACATATGTATATACAGATGTACATAGAGAGATTTTTGACAGGGATATACTGAGAGGGATTAATACATATACATACCTAAAGAAGAAGTGAATATCGGAGAATATTTACTAAGACGCGAGTCATTGAGCAGCGAGGTAAGTATTCTCCATATTCACTGAGCCTGAGACGAATGCTTTCCTCTATTCCTCTATGCTTTCTTTTTAATTAAATTTAGATTCTTTTTATTTTATGTTTATTCTTCTTTCTTTCTTTCTTTCTTTCTTCCTTTCTTTTTCACTCACTCTTTCTCTCTCTATCTCCCTCCCCAATGGCAGATCCAGGGAGGGGTACAGGGGATGGGAATCCCTCCCTGGTTTGACTTAGTGCCCCTACTTTGAAGATAACCAATACAAAATAATGTTTTTTCCCCCTTGATGCATCCCTCTGGATAAATTTGTGTGCAGCACTCTCCCCTGAAAAAATTCCTGCATCTGCCCATTTCTCCCTCCCTTCAATCCTTTCTTTTCTTTCTTTTTTCGTTTCTTTGTTTCTTTTTTTGTTCCTTTGTTCCTTTGTTCCTTCGTTCCTTTATAATAATAATAATAATATTTAATGAGGATACTCCACTCATAAAAATGATTCTACCTCGCATTTGCATACAATCAGAGATCACGTGAGATAGCAAGTCACGAGACCATGAGCTCAGTGCGAGTTTTGACCTTCAAGAGTTCAGTCCTTCATTTTCAAGCTAGAATACCTTTTCCTTCAAGTTTCACAATCTGGGCAAAATGTCTTTGGAAAACCTAGATGATGAAAACGTAAACAGTCTTTTGAGGGACGATGATGACACAAACCTCGTGGGAAATTCCGAGAAAGCTGTAAAAACAAGTTCAACCGTACAAGATGGCGCCTCGCTAAGCGCAAGGATCAAGTTCCATGCCTGATATGGCCCTACTTACCAATGCGATTCTGGAATTAACCAGAAAAATATCTGATGTGGACTCTCCTCTGGCCAGAAAGGAGTCTGGCAGTGGGAAACGAACTGTGAGTGAGGTCAGGAGGGATGAAGGCTTAATTCCCGCCAAAATTCCCAAGAGGGACAACAACAAACCCTCCACATCACAAGGCCAAGAAACGCACTCCGTGAGTGCTGGGGCCGCCGTTGATGATCTTTATGACTCTGTTTTAAATCAGAGTTCGGGCCAAGTTGAAAATGGCAATGAAGTCGCTCGTAGCGATGAAGCCGAGGATGAAATCCTTTCAGATCTCGTCAAAGAATACGAGTCTGATGACATTGTAGGCGAAAAGCTCAAAAGTGAACAGCTTGCTAAWTTAGTCAACAAGATGTTCMGCTGTAAGCTGGCCGACAAAACTTTAACGGAACGCTTAGAGCGCCAAGAGAGGCCAGCCAACTGTGAAGCAGCCAAAACCCCCAGGGTAAACCCTGGAATTTGGCGAAAACTCAGAGAGGCCACGAAGAAACGAGACCTCCAGKTTTTCAAGAYACAGCAATCCCTCATTAAAGGGATTTTACCTGTTCTGCGCATGACAGATAAGCTTCTCAGTGCAAAAACCTTGGACTCTGATGAGTGCCAGGATTTGAAAAAACATGGCCTGGAAGCAATGTCCCTACTTACTCATGCATCGTATGAAATCAACATACAACGTCGCCTACTTATGAAACCAGATATTGGTAAAGAATATGGGTCACTTTGTTCATCCCAATTACCCTTTACAGACTTCCTGTTTGGGGATGATCTGCAAAAGCATCTAAAGGACATTGGTGACCAAAATAAAATTGGTGCCAAGTTTCATAACAATAGCTACCAGGGCAAAGGGAAATACAATGCCTCAGGCAAACCTAATTATAAGTCAAAAAACTACAAGGGCCAGCCYCGCAAACCCTGGAAGAACAAGAACCAGGACAACAAGTCCAGTGCCAGCCAATAATACAGGCACAAACTAAGCCACCCACCTGCACGGTAAGTGCACCTAATGATTTTAAGGCTGGCAACCTAGTGAACCATCTTGATTCTTGGAAAAGACTTAATGGTGACAGAAACATATTGTCTATTGTCAGTGGCTATTGTTTAGAATTTGATCAAAATCCTTGTCAGTCCAGGGCTCCCAGGGAGACTAAGTTCTCCCAAAAGGAGTCTGAACATGTAAAAGTTGAAGTTGACAAACTTCTGAATAAAGGTGTGATAAGGAAAACAAGACATAGCCCTGGAGAATTTATTTCTACAGTTTTTACTAGACCCAAGAAGGATGGTTCACATAGGTTGATACTAAACCTTAAAAAACTTAATGTTTATATTTCCTACCATCATTTCAAAATGGATACTTTGCAATGTGTACTACAGCTAGTATCACCTAAATGCTGGATGACAGTCTTAGACCTTAAAGATGTTTATTACACAGTGGCCATTAACAAATCACATCGAAAATACTTAAGATTCGAGTTCAAGGGAGAACTTTATGAATTTAACTGTCTCCCAAATGGACTTACTAGTGCCCCAAGGGTGTTTACTAAGCTCCTCAAACCCTTCTACTCGAAGTTGAGAGGGGAGGGGGTACTCATCATTGGGTACATAGATGATATCCTATTGTTGGCAGATGACTATACCACCTTGCTTAGGAATATCAATTTCTYAACCAAACTGTTAAAAGAGCTGGGCTTTACCATTCACGATCAGAAATCAAGCCTTGTGCCAACACAGTCTGTCACATTTTTGGGTTTTAATATAGACTCAGTTTCTACTGTATGTCAGTGTCCATGACAAAGGGAAAGGCTGACAAAGTTAAATTAGCCATTCAGTCACTGTTAAAGCAAAATAGACCTGTAATAAGGGAAGTTGCCTCTGTAGTAGGYCTCATGGTATCCAGCTTCCCTGGGGTGAGGTATGGACCCCTTTTTTACAGGGCATTAGAGAATGAAAAAACAGATGCCTTAAAGGCAAATGAGTGGGATCTGGATGACCACATGCACATCTCTGACTTGTCAAGGAATGATCTTAAATGGTGGCTGGATCATGTGGACAGTGACCCAAGCTCATTAACACCCGCAGAGTCGTGTGTAACACTTAAGTGTGACAGCTCTCTGGAAGGATGGGGATCTGTTTTATCACGTGATTCAACCTCGCCTACCCCCACCTCTGCCAATGGCAGATGGTCCTACAATGAAAGGGAGCATCACATCAATTATCTAGAGATTAAGGCAATTTTTTTAGGCCTGCAATCCCTATGTTCAGCATACAAAGACTGCACTATTACTATTTTTTCAGACAATCAGACTGCAGTTGCATACAAAAAGAACATGGGAGGTACACACTCTAGAGATTGCAATCAAATTACCAGAGAGTTAATAATGTGGTGTAAGGAAAGAAATCTATCACTGATCATCTCTCACATCCCTGGGAAGCTTAATGTAGAAGCTGATAGGGCAAGCAGACATGACTTCCATGATGACATAGAGTGGTCACTTGACAAGTGTGTTTTTGACAAATTAGTTGGTTTGTGGGGTAACCCAGACATTGACTTGTTTGCTACAAGGTTGAATGCTAAGCTGCCTTGCTATGTCTCATGGAGAGCAGACCCTGGTGCATTGGCTACTGATGCATTCACAATCAGCTGGTCTGACTATAATTTAATTTACTGTTTCCCACCTTTCAGTATGATTGGGAGAGTTCTGCAAAAAATTGCCCAGAGCCAGGTCAGAGCCATCATTGTACTCCCAGACTGGCCAACCCAATTTTGGTATCCTCAGATGCTCAAACTGCTGCTCTCTACTCCAGTCAAGATAAAGCTACAGAAATCAACCCTAACACTGCCASACGACAAGAGCAAGATACACCCACTCTATCCAAAGCTCCAGATGATTGGTTGTCTTGYGTCAGGCAAAGCCTCATTGAGCAAGGTGTAAGGGGTGAAGYATTAAATATCATCCTTSACTCTTGGCGAAGTAGCACGCGCAAACAATACAAATCATCCATCTGTTCCTGGATAGAATTTTGTAAAGGTCATCACATATCTGTGATGACACCACCACTACCTCAGTTACTGGAATTTTTGACATTTGAATCAAAAAGACTAGGATACAGTGCATTGTGTACAGTACGAAGTGCACTGTCATCATTCATTACCATTGATGGTTTTAAAGTTGGAGAGCATCCGCTTGTCTCCAGGTTCATGACAGGCATTTTTAATAGAAAGCCCTGTTCCCCCAGATATGTGGAAACATGGGATCCACAGATAGTATTAGACCATCTTCGTTCTTATCCTGATGTAAAAGATATGACTTTGAAACAATTAACACTTAAACTGACAATGCTCATGGCTCTGGTGAGTGCACAAAGAACTCAGACTCTCAAATTGCTGTCTACTGAGAATATGGTTAAAAAACCTGAGGAGTTTACTTTCAGAGTATTGTCATTGCTCAAGCAGTCAAGTGCTGGTGGTGGTGCACAGAGACATCTTGCACCAATTGTGTTTAAAAAATACCCAGATGACAATAAATTATGTGTTTTTACTGTTTTAGAAGAGTATTTAAAGCGAACCACAGCTTTGCGGGGTTCTTGTTCACAATTATTACTTTGTTACACAAAACCATGTGGACCAGCATCAAAAGACACTATCCGTCGCTGGATTAAAGATGTAATGCTGCAAGCTGGCATTGACACAACCTTATTCAAGCCACACTCCACAAGAAGTGCCWGCACCTCAGCTGCCGTGTCAAATAATGTACCCATTAATGACATTTTGATGACTGCTGGTTGGCGTTCAAGTTCAACTTTTGCCAAATATTATAACAAACCTGTTGCCCACACCAATCAATTTGCTGAAGGTTTATTATCAAAACCTTAATAAATAAAAGGTGTGCCTTATTGTTGCACTTGTATATTTGATTTTGAGGCCAAAGACTAGGCTCTAAAATCTCACGTGATCTCTGATTGTATGCAAATGCRAGGTAGAATTGATAAATYAAACGAGACTTACTTGTAAGTTGAAGTTTGATTGAGATTCTAMSGTAGCATTTGCAGGAATGAAGAGATCACATCCCACCCTGCCCTCCCTGTCAATATCATCATTTTGGGTGGCTTTGGACCCCAAAATCGGCTTTAAAGACTGAGCTCATGGTCTCGTGACTTGCTATCTCTTCATTCCTGCAAATGCTACGGTAGAATCTCAATCAAACTTCAACTTACAAGTAAGTCTCGTTTAATTTATCAATTTTCTGGGAGGTCCTAGAAAAAAAAAATTAAGTAAAAAAAAATAATAATAATAATAAAATTAAAATTGAAAATTGAAAATTGAAAATATAATAGAAAATAATTGACCGAATCGAGAATTCGGCCGCGAGCGCGTCGATATGTGGCCCAAGGCGTGGAAAACGACCCGGCGCAACCTGGCGTGATTCACGAATTAGGAATCACGCCAGATCGGCTCCGCCAACAACCCAAGCCCCACACCACACCACTCTTTGTTCCTTTGTTTGCTAAATAATGCTCCCTGTACGGGTAGATACTCAAACCAAAATCACTCACCATTTACTGATTTCTGCTTTTTCAACCCCCTTCATTCTCACTAGCATCCGGCTTGGGTGAACATTGTACTGCAAACATGTCTGATGACGTAGGAAAACGTTTAGAACGTGATGAAGAATGTAAAACATGGATGGAAATACATGCAGTACATGAAAGTCCAGTCTTACCTTTTTATATAGAGTGAATTGAAAATCGAGTACTGATGGCAGAAAATATAACAGTCCATTCTCGTGGCAAAGGCAAAACTGCATTACTTGATGCAATTCAACAAAACAACGAAATCGTGGTTCATGCATTGATTGATGCTGGTGCTGATGTCAACATAACTGATAATGATGGTCAAACTGCTTTGTTTTATGCAGTTCAACAAAGTAACAACGAAATCGTGGTTCGTGCATTGATTGATGCTGGTGCTGATGTCAACATAACTGATAATGATGGTCAAACTGCTTTGTTTTATGCAGTTCAAGAAAGTAACAACGAAAGCGTGGTTCGTGCATTGATTGATGCTGGTGCTGATGTCAAAATAACTGATTTTATTGGCCAAA